TGCGCGCCTCAGAGCCGGCGGGCGGTAACGGCCTGACAGGATCCGCCTCGTCCGCCGCCTCCTCCCGGCAGGTTCCCCCGGAGACCTCCTGTCCGTGACAGAACCTGTGACATACTTCCACAGAGACCCTAACATTGAAGACGGAAATCATGCATTTGATGATTCTGTTCATACTCTCTTCAGTACAGTCTAGCAATAATTTTGTTGTCTAATACAGTTCTAAAGTAAGCACCAACTGCACAAGAAATAAATATATTCCTCTCATGAAATGCCAAAAGGAACGTTCAGTGTTCTGATGCAATATTGAAAATGACGTTCTGTCATTCATCTAACAACAAAAAAACCCACACCAGCAGGCTCTTAGAGAGGAGGCAATTAATTTTGAAAAAGGGATTAAAGGTGCTAAATGTCAGCAGCTTCCTTTACAGATAACTAAGGGGCGACTATACCCCATGCTGTAAACATTTCAGAAGGGTGAGAAATTATTAATGATGACGGAAGGAGTACTGGAAATACTGGGATCAAATTAAGTACAGGAAAGCTGAAGATAAATATCTGGCAAATGTATGTCATAATGGAAATGTGATGGGGTAGTTGGTATCGCCTCCCTTAGGGTATTTAGTCTTAAAATGGCAAAGACAACAGAAAATTACCTGCAGTGAAAAATCTGGCATTACAGATCTATGTATCTACTGACAATACCAAATGGCTACGGTGGTATTTCATGGAAAACTTTATAATTAATAATTTTAATATTCCATTATCATGAACTGAGCAAAAAAATCAGCTTTAGAATTGGCATTTTCTGTGCTAATGCCTATCATCTTATATTTTCTACCCTTTTTAAATCTTAAGGTACTTAATATATTTGATATTAATATTTCCCCTGCATATTTAGCCAGTTAACCTTTCACCAACATGCTTCCTGGCAACTTAATGCTGATACAGGTCGAGGTGCGCGAACTGCAAGCACTTCAGGGCTACAAATAGCAGAAATGCAAATAAAACCTGGAAGTTCTTTGTTCCTAGAGAGAAGAAAGATATCATCTAACACTCCTATGTGGAGTCCTCCCACCTTACTGTATAAAGCAGGAAGAGACAAAGGAATGATCTGGTTCGTTTCCCCTCCTGTAGCCAAAGCAGAAGGAGGGGGGCTTCGCTACTAACTTTCCCCATGCCAGAGAGGCAGTACAATGACCGCTTCCCACCCGGGCACGAGAAACGCCCCATGCCCACAGGGAAACAAGCAGGCACAAGCTCTCAAAGCCCTGTTTGCGTTCCGCTGAGTTTCCTGCGCGTCTACTAAAATTCTGCACCTCCTGCAGAGGTGAGGCACGCCAAGAACACCTGGCCTCCACGGCTACAGCCATCAGGTAGCGTTAGACCTGAGCAGAGATGGTCTGGAAGAGTTTCAAAGCCAAGCGGGATCTTACAAGCACAAGAAACACTTCTTTCCTTCTACAGTAGGAGAGTCAAGTGCCAGAGCTCCTCATAGCACAGAGGTACAGCCAGGCTGTGGCACCTCCTCGTGACCAAATGCCTTCTCAGCCTTTGCACATCCCATATATGCAGCCACAGAGCTCAACCCTCCGGGCCTTTCTTAGCACGAGAAACAATTCCTGCCAGTGTCCCAGGAGCCTCTCAGGAGGCATTTTATGGAAGTGGTTAGCCGTTAAAACAACAGAAATGTCATAAATGAAGGCACAGCAAAGTTAAGTTACTTAGACACAGTCACACAGAGTTAGCAGCAGAGGGGACATAAAAAAACTGGAGACAAAAGGCCAGTCTCTTACTGGAACGGTCAGTTGGCATTGCTTGCATACGAACGATAATCAATAACTGAATAAGCAGCATAATTTATTTCAATCAACT